AGAGAGAATCATACAAAGAGAGATTTTCAGAATAATAATAGCTTCAAAGACAATATACATTACAGAAATTTAGAAGTGCTATAACAGAGTGGTTATCCTCTGAGCTGACATCCAAATGCATCCCCTGACTGACCAATTCAAGGCCTGAGCATTCTGAACGTATGCTCTGGAAGATCCTGCATCTCCTAGGCTCTGTAATAATCTGTAGATCCTTCCTTGATGTAGACGTACTTTTCAGTAGAAAAGATAAATCCAATAGTTAATGTAAGAGTTTACCTTGCATGATGTTAAGTAGTTTAACATCTAAACTACTAACTTAAAAACAGAAAGATGGTTCAGTGGTAAGGAAAAGAACACTTTTTTTTTTTTTTTAGGTTTTTCGAGACAGGGTTTCTCTGTGTAGACCTGGCTGTCCTGGAACTCACTCTGTAGACCAGGCTGTCCTTGAACTCAGAAATCCGCCTGCCTCTGCCTCCCAAGTGCTGGGACTAAAGGCGTGCGCCACCACCGCACAGCAGGAAAAGAGCTCTTAATGTTCTTTTCTTTACTCCAGAAGACTGGAGTTGAATACCCAAAGCCTATGTCAAGTTCCTCACAACTTTTATGTAACTCCAGGTCCAGGAGATCTGACACTGTCTTCTGTCCTCTGCAGGCACCTAACTATTGCATACATTCACATAGACATGTACACTTGCACATAAATAAATTGAGTAAGAATAAATATTTAAAATGTTTATCACCTGTCTCTCTGATTACAGTAATCTTAAGTCCAGTACTTTGTTATCAAATTCTCTTTACTCTCATTAATTAGGTATATATATATCATTCATATGTCTTCTAAATTTGTACAATATAGCTATTATTAACATTCAGAGCACTGTCTTTTATCATCAGGATGAAAGTGGGCTGCATTTTGATAGCTCTTAAAAGTGACTTGCCTTCTGTATGTAGTGAGACTAACTTCTGGCCCACAGACCACATTTTGTCAATACTTGCTATAAATCAACTTTGAATCACTATATGCCTATTTAACATTTGCTATTAATTATTAATTTTCTTTTGCTTATTCTTTAGAAACATGAGGTTTTAATGAGTAGCCTCCCCTATAGAAAATGTTAATGCATGTAATTATTTCACATTACTTTGTATAATTATTTCTGGCAGAAACTTTTACTCTGAAATATAAAATTGACTTTTAGCAAACCAAAGTAATATTGTATAGTATATGCATTTTGATAATTTTATAATTGATATGCCAGATGTAACAGTAACTTTTATTCACCAGATGTAATTGTCATCTCAGAGGCACTTACTAATGAATAAGCTTACCCTTTCTAGTTCCTTCAGAACTGTGACTGACTGGTTCAAGTCAGTTGTTCTGGCCCAAACCCCTCTGATTCAAACTGGCTTATCCTCAAACTAACTTCTTGGAATCTGTTCCAATCATCTGGCTTCTTATTCTCTGGTTCATTCTGTCTTCACCTGCATCCTGTCTCTGTAAATCTGTCCAGGTAAAACTTCCTCCTTTCTCTTTTTCTTTGTGCTACTCCTTTAATTTACTTTTCTGTCCTGTCTTGTTCCCTTGAGAACCGAGAGGACCCTATTTCCTAATTATTCTGTCAAATCTTTCCCTGATTCATCACTTTGCCCCTCAATTATTTGTCACTTCCAAATGTAAGAACTTCTTTCTACAAACTATCTTTACCTTCATTGTTTGAGATTAAAGGTATGTATTAAGGATATGTTTATATTCCAACAAGGGATATTAAAAGTGGGTCCTTCCAGCCAGATTACACAGACCTAGGTCTTTTGATGTGATCCCTTGCCAGAGAAGCCATGTTGCTGGAGTAAATTTTCTCTACAAAATAGTTCACAGATCCAAGTATGAGAGACAGACCTACATTTTTTCTCATTTTTTACTTGTTTCTCAACCTCTAAAACCTTGGGTTTTACTCAATATATATGTCTAAGTTGTACAGAAAATGAATATATTTTTGCCCTAGTTACTCAAAAAAGACCTTTCAAACATTACATTTCTAATAATAGGAATGCATATTGAAGCAACCTTGTTTTATTCCGAGGAGAGAGTATTACAATATGAATCAGACCCAGGATCTTCCTGGGTGTTCTTATGTTCCCAAATTCTGAGATTTATCTTCCACTTTCTGGAGTCTTCACAATAACATCAATATAGTACATTAGCATGGTGTCCTGTGGAATAATTTGAAGATTGCAGTTCTTGTAACATAGTGGGTAAGAGACAACAGGATGACATAGATTAAAACAGTAGAGAAAAAAATAAGCTTTTGTTATCAAGCAAATGCAAAGTGTCTCTTTTTGCCTGCATAATAGGATGACCGTGCACCTACCAGTTGTAGGCTACTGTTGCTCCTCCAGGAAATGCTACCTCTAAACAATAACACAATGTAATCCTAGATGCTTAGATCAAGTTGACCACCCTCTGATGTTCTTAGATCATCGGTGTAGGTCATATGGACAATTAATTGGGCAAGTAGGAATTTCTATCCTGCACATTCCAAGATAGCAATATAATAACATATCCAGCAAATCCTCCAGGTGATCATGCACAACTAAACATTACAGAACAAAGCAGAACAATACACATGGGAACTGTGTTTTAAGGAAGCACTTTCTAAATCATAAGACAACAAATGAAATTGCTGCTTTTGCGATGATCAGATGATTAAGAACCTGTATAATTAGGTAGATCCAGAATAACTGCTGAGTCAGATCCTTGTCAATGACGTGCACACTCAGAACCTACTTCTAGTGTGTTCTTCTGTAATACGCCTTTAACTCAGAGACTCAGTGAACACATCTCATCAGCAGAGCTCAGCTCAGCCTCCCTATGCAGGCATTTGAGAACAGATTATTTCGTTCTTTAGAGTCCTGAAATAAAGGAAGATTCGATACAAAAAAAGTTGATTTGGGTGTTGAGCCAGTCCTTCATAGTTAGCTAAAATGAATTGTTGATAATGCAGGCCTTTATGTCAGTCTTTCCAAAAGGTTCCATTGTTTATCAAAAGAGAAGAAGCTTTGATTATAACTTCAGATATATAGAGGTCATTTATAAAAGTAACATTTATATCATTGTAAACAACACTAAGAGTGATATAGCTTTTTTTCTTTGTGAAATTTAGTTAGAATAGTAGCTCTTTGCTGTACTATAGATGCAGTCTTTATTTCAACATTGTCTGTTTCTCTGCATTGTTGTCCAGCAGAATTGTATCATTCCATAAAAGTTTATTCCCATCGTTTAACTTTTCAGTGGCTAATAATTTAAATTTATATCATATGACCAGCAACACTTTTTATATTATTGCTATGAATTATAGCATTGTGTTACTTCTGGAGAACCTTACTAGGTGCATGACCATATACTAAGCATTTTGTGTGTCTTAACTTAATGTACCTAAAATTCCTTCCAAGTAGTTAACATCACAGCTGTCATTTTGCATGTTGGCAGCTGTGACACACAACTTATTGACAAAAGATTTAGTTATTAAAGTGTGGAGAAAGGTATGCAAACAATTAAAGCATCAGTTGAACTGAAATAGCCATCTGAAATGTCTTAGAGTTCAGATTCTTTACCTATAAAAATGAAACTGCTGCAAAAACTTGAAGCTTTAAAGTAGCACTACATCTTTGTGAGTAATCTAAATCTTAACCAATTACGTTGTTAATAAACAATTACAAGGAATTTTGCAAGTGTTTTTATGATAGTGTATTTCCAGAATTAAGTTGACTTAAGCTACTATGAAGTATGTTATATATTCCAGAATTATGTGCATAGTTTCATTAGCTCTGTAACTTGATCATTATTATTGTCATTGTGAACATCCTAAAAGAATATGTACTATTAAAGTCAACCTGAGATATATCTGTAGAGACATGGTCATCTTAAAAGACACAGCACATTTTACAATTTCACCTTGGATACATAGCACTGAAATCGATGTCTCCTTGTGTTATTTATGCTTATGGACAGCAGGAAGTGTATCTGGTCATTTCTGTTTTAAGGCTCTCAGCAACTTTAAAGGTCATATTATTTGAAATCTTGCTCATGAGTTTTATATACCATAGTGTGATTTTAATCATATGACTTTGTTTCTAATAGTAGAGATATGATGTGTTGTGTCCTATCGGCATTTACATTTTTCCTAATGGTGATGATTTGGCAGGATGGTTTAGTGGTTAAGAGCTTACCAGTGAGATAGATGGCATGAGTTGGATCCCTGGCATCCAAACATGCAAAGAGGGTCTTTCAAGTCTTCCACTAACCTGGTCTTGTATATTCTGACACCTTTAAACAGACATGCACATAGGCACATGAACGTGTACATGTACACACATAATAAATAAATAAATAGATGATAAGTAGATAGGTTCATAGATAGATAGGTAGGTAGGTAGGTAGGTAGGTAGATAGATAGATAGATAGATAGATAGATAGATAGATAGATAGATAATTGAAATAATTAAAAGAATTATCAAAGAGGAACTCACACTGTCTCATATTTTCCCCATAAAAAGCCTGACTCATGGCAAATAGGGAAGTGCTCCACCTGTCCTCTCCACAGTCGAAGTGAGACACACAGAAGACCCTTAGTTCCGTGGACTTGAAAGTTCACTCTTTAAATCTACTTGTTTATATGTCTGTCTTCTATCAAGTGAGAACTGAAAGATTCATTTTATTATTTTTTCTTATTCACTTTGCATGTGGTCTCTCATTTATTCTAAACTCATACTCTATGACAGTTTGACTTATTATATTTTAGCTCTCTGCCATACATTTAAAACTTTTGACTTCTACATAAAATTGTAGCACCTATATTAAAATTTTTTCACAGTTTTTCTCAGTATTAATCCTAAAACGTATGCTAATATCTTTTACTCCCCTTAGCAATAAAATCTTATATGCTGTCCATTAAATACAGTGACGTCATGGAAAATAGAATCTCACTCCATTTCCATTGTAGTTCCAGGTGCAGTGTTATGTCTCTCAGAGCCTAGTAACCCTAGGAAGTTGCAGCTTGTTGAGGAAGTCTATTATACCGCTGCTTCTATCAGAAGTGAACAGCTTTGTGGACGAACTGGGAGCCATCGATCAGGTACATGTAACTGGAAACTGTAACTCATTAAATTGTGCTTAATACAGCTATAAGCTGCTGGCTTTGTACTTTATTTTTTTCTTCACATATTGATTTGGTACTTTTTCACTAGTTCACCAATATTGCTTAACTCTAATATATGTGAATAATCCAGCTACTGAAATTACAGAAAGGTACATCAGCCAAGAGGGGATTTGCATGTTTGTTTGTTTGTTCTTTCTTTTTTTAAAATAAGCCTACCTTCCCCTACTGTCACACATGTACTAGATTCTCTGTTGTTTTTAGCAAAGGAATGTTTAGCTGAGTAGACTTAAATTTCCCCAGTGGTGATATAAAGTCAAATAGTGTTGTGTGTGTCTGAGAAGGGAGGGTGAGTGGATTCAAGAGGATCTTAAATAGAGAATGGTTCTTCAACACATTTGCCTAAGATCATTTTCCAGTTGAATTTTGAAATTTAAATATCCACTTACCAACCCATACACAACCCAGTGAAACAGAGGTCTCTAAGTGAGATCCTGGGCATCAATGTGTAGAAACACGCATGGTAATTCTGCTGTCGCCTTAAACTTAACACCAGTGCTCCTGACCATTTCAGCTGTGCAGAGCTTTACATGTCATTCAGACAGCATCCCCAGATTTTGCTGTTGATAAGTAAATGTTACATGTGCATACCTTATACTTCCTTTAGTATTCTTACCATCTCTATTGTAGAAATAATAAGAAATAAGAGATAAGTTAACATATTTTGGTACAAGTGAAATAAATTTGATAATTCAAACTGGATGGAATTTTAAAGTGCTTTTTAACTAAGTACTTACCTCTACTTTCTCTATATTTAATGGAATGATCTTAAGCCTATCATTCTAGTCTTGTTCCGTACATAACATGGTATATCATCTAGTCAGCAACTGTTTAAGTGATTCTGAAAGATGAGTTTGTAATGTCACTGTCACAGACCTAAAGGAGAAATGAGTCAAGGTGACTACTGTAAAAAAACCAAAAGGTTGAAATAAATGCATGGTGATGTTTGTAAGAGTCCCAAGGTCACAGAAATGGCCATAATAGTTTGCAAGTCCAAAGTACTTCCTATCAAGGGAACAAGTTAAATAGATATATATTTGAGTGGAATCAGCAGAGACTAGCAGAATGCAGAGTTTTATAATGAGAGCTATCCTGGGGATTCTTAGGAAATAATATGGGTTTGGCACTTTAACAGGAAACAATGTTGGAAGTATATGTAATTGAACTGAATTATTTGTTTGGAGCATAAGAACAACTTGAGAAGTCAGAATTTTATCTGCACATGTAGTTTAATTTAATTTTGACACAGCATAATGAAATACCTATACATCTTTTCCAGTTCATATATACAGAAACAGAGCCTTAAAGGTCAATAAGACACTTGACCATAGCTGTGGAATGACATCCATAAATGTCATTATTTAAACTCAGATGTTCTGTCATGCTGCTTTAAGATAATAAGGGGGTCAGAGAAATGGGGTAGCTGTTAAGAGCACTTACTGGCCTTGCAGTGGAACCGGGTTCAAGCACCCATCACTGCTGCCTCTAATTCCAGTTCTAGAGGATTGAGTGGCCTCTGCTGAGTATCCAAGGTATCAGCTTGTACTTGACACACGTAAATACACACTGTTTAAAACACACATGAAGGCAGGAGAGAAGGAGGGTGGAAAGGAAAAAAAGAGTGGATTTAAATAATAAAAGAAAAAACAACAGTAAGACAGCAAACAACTAATTGTTTGCAGGCATCTATATTAAAGGCTTCACTTGAGCTCTCCTAATCAATCCTTTTGACAACTCTTCCAAATATTAGTATTGATTAAAGACAGAGAAACTATAAGTCAGCATTTTCTAGCGGCAAGTAGCAGAATGCAGTGCAGCCAGTTTAAACAAATGGATTAATGAGCAGTTATGGAATTTGGGAGCAGGCTGAAGAATGAGACTCTGGGCTGGACTTTCATGAATTAAGCCATTACTGCACAATAGAATTGGGTTATCAGTGGTGTGTACTACTTTTGCTGTTGTGAGCATGAAGCTGTGTGCCGAAGTGATTGGTGTTTGTTCTTCTTTGGAGTTCTAAGGGTTCAGGATCAGCACAGCATGAGCAGACCATGTGAGCACTGTGTAAGGTCTAACTACCTATATAACTTACTTTCAACTGAACAGTTTTTTTTTAACACAACCGATAACACATTCAGAACCTATAAGTAAGGAAAAATAAACGATAGAATTCTATGCATTCTTAACTTTTTTTTATTGTGACAAGAGGAGAAAACAATGAGGGATAAGGTTAGCTCATGGTATCCATCACGTCTAAGGGTTAAAGAGTCAGTGCCATAGGCTTAGATGATGAGCTATAATAGGACACAGTTGAAGAACTTACATGTTGGCAGCCAATGGAAAAGTAGACGTACAGAGTTGAAGATTGGGTTCCAAACCCACTTATTCCCATCCCTCAATACACTGTGTATACCAACAGATTCCAAAGAAAAGTTAATGTGAAGAGATTTAATTTAACCAAAAAATATTGCCAAGTTAATAGATGTGGTGATATCACTGAAAAGAATTAGGCTACTATGGAAAAAAAATGTTTTCTGTGGACAGAAATTGAGTCTGTATTTAATGAACGTGAGGATGCTTTTAAAGTACCATAAATGTAGGCAGATGGAAATATTAGACAATCTTTGCAAAGGTCTTACTTAGATGATTCATAATTGGATATCTGTCTGGAGAGCAACACTGATAAACAAAATACATAGCACATCATTAATCTCTAGATATGTAAAACAAACAAATAAGGATGGATAACCTATAGCCTTTAGGGGGAAAATTAGTAGAAATAAAACCAAAGTGGGGCTGGAAAGATGGATAGATGGCTAAAAGCATCATATGCTCTACCAGAGGACCCCAGTTCAAACCCTAATACCCATAAGGCAGCTGACATCAGGCAGAAAAATTCTGTATTATTCACCCTCTGGTCTGGCCTCTGAGGACACTGTACACATGACACAAAGACATTCGTGCAGAATGCCCATACACGTAAAATAAAATGGCAGAAGATAATGACATTGTTAGCTATTATAAATGTGTTATTATAGTTTAAAGGCATGTATTAGAAATCATTAAATATCTTAAATTGAATGAGAATAGTAATAAGGAAATAGGTTTCAAAAATAAATTCAAAACAGGACAACTATAAATAAAGCTGTGAAAATCTAACTATGAAGATTAAAGGCATTCTCACCAGTAAGCTCAGGAATTTTTCTTAAGCACGCATTACTTAGTTGACAGCCTCTCAGAATGAACGGAAGAAGTAGAAGGTGAAGTTACCTTTTGTTAACTAGATCAGCCGCATGTACAATTATAATCAATTTCCCAAGTAAAAGTTCAAGATCAAATGATACTACCCTAGAAGAGGATTTCTCAACCTGGGGATGAGGACCCCACTGGAGGTTGCATATCGGATATCCACATTACGATTCATAACAGTAGCAAAATTATAGTTACGAAGTAGCAATAAAGCAACTTTATGGTTGGAGGTTACCACAATATATGAGGAACTGTATTAAAGGGTCACAGCATAAGGAAGGTTGAGAACCACTGCTCTAAAAGATAATAAGCTTTTCCAAAGTCGATTTAGAAGACCACTGTTATCTATTAAAGCTATAAGAAGACACTAACAGCAAATACCAGAGCTTCATATGAACATGAACATAGAAAGAGAAGGTGTATTAACCATTAGAAAATGAAATCCAAACAATATATGACATAATACCAAATAATTAAGTAGAATTTGAAAAATGAATAAAATAGTTTTCACATATAAAAACAACATAATCAACATATTTGAAAAAAGGTATAAAAAGTGTAATATTTTAGAATATGTAGATAAGGCAGTTGGTAAAATTTATTCTTCATTTATGATTAAAAAGAAAGAGTACTAAAGTGAAAAAAACTTTTGTATATGTTATAATTCATCTGTGAAAAACTATAGTTACCTTACCTCTTTGTGAAAGAGTGAATGCTTACTTCCTAGTGCTTGGTGCATGGAATATTCTTTACTCATTTTTGTCAGATAATATTATAATTACAACACTAGTCCCTTCTGTAAGCTCTCTCCACGCCCTCGCTTATACCACTACCTACTCTCCTTCATTTTCATGGTCTTTTGTCACTAGTTCTTAATTCTTATTGCACACATATATTATCATTTATATTTAGCAAGTTGGGTTGGGATAATATGGGCCATACTGTCATTGTTTGTAGTCAACGTGGCCATGAAGATAGAAAATCTAAACTTGTTTTCTGGTGTAACCATCTGTAAATAATTCCTTTTACATATGGCCAATTGATTTCATACTTATTTTAAGGCAATTCTGTTGGGAAAGATTGAGGCAATGCTCAGTACAGTAATGGGGAAAGTATTTGAACTTTATAAATGTTGCTGTATTAGTGATCAGAAAGATGGTCTATAATTCACAAAACAGGAAGATGCACTGGATTGAATTGCTAAGTTTAAAAAAAAAAACTACTAACATTCCTATATACATAAAGGTGGGTATCAACTTGAATTCCTAAATTTTGAAGGGGACTGTAACAAAGGCACAGAGTTTCTTAGAAAGTTAAGCATTCTCTTAAGCCACTAATTGGCCATAATTCAATATCTACGTCTACATTTGGATGATAAATATCGCCTAGAGGCTCCAGTATTTGAACAATTTTAGTCCCCAGTTGGTAATGTTGTTTGGGATATCTAGGTAGTGTGCCCTTGCTGGAGGAAGTGTATCACTGGGGGAAGGATTGAGAATTTAAAACCTCTACCACTTGTAATTTGTGTTCTGCTTTGTGCTTCCATCTGATGATGTGGGTTCTCAGCTACATGATCTTGCCTGCTGCTTGTTACCATGCCTCCCTCCCATTGGGCTCTTATCCCTTTGTTCCTAGATTTTGACATAATTATATTGAGTTAAAAGAGAGATTGA